CGTGTGTGTGTGTGTGTGTGTGTGTGTGTGTGTGTGTGTGCAATATATGTTGTTGTTGTTTAAAGTTCTTTTACTTCTTATATTTGAGGTAAAGAGAAACTTGACTGTTAAAAGGAATTTCACTGAGCTTACTCAGTGGCTTTAAAATGGCTATTGTCCCCGGTTCCCTCCCCCCATCCCTACCCATCTTTCCATATTCCCAAAATTGTCGAAAGGAAACGTTTAAAAAATTCATCAAACAAACAAGTAAATAAACCAACCAAATAAAAACAACATCTCCCCCCCCCCCTCCAAATTAATAATTTGAAAGAAAAAAGTTTGTTTTTATAAACCCTAATGTTGTGTCGGGGAACACGTTTCTCTTCTGTCAAACAGCAAAATAAGACATATCATGTGAGATGCGTTTTTACTTCTTTTCCAAAATGTCACATATTATGCTGATTGCAGTCCGTATTCGTGGGAAAGCTGTGATAAACAAAATCTTTACAAACAGAAAGAAACGAGATAAAAACCTCAGCCACAAAAGAAAAATAAATGACGAAATTAAGAAGAGATTTATCACGTGTGTTACAAAAGTTACAGTTCAATGTAGAGTTTGTTAACTTGAGTTTAGCTGTTAGCTGACAAGAACGGTCTGTTTCTTTTATAGTACTGCTATATTTGCGTGTAGATCTAATCTATGTACCGTATTCTGTCCGATTAAAAAAAAATTCTGTACCAGTTTTAGTTTTGAATGAATCGCCTGTCTTTCGTAAACATATTTTTATTTTGTATGACGGTTATTCTCGACATGAAGACCATGAGAGATTGGGGTCTAAAGAATAACGAAATCTCTTCTGTATAATGACTGAATAAAAGTGTACACTTAAGTGTTCTGTGATGCAGCTTAAGAACCCTCCGTCTATCATTTCTCTTTATTAAGTCATATCAGGCCTGTATAATGATATTATAGGTGGCGTCGTTTCTTTGCTCGCAAGGGACACGAGTTCAGTGTCCTTTCTTTCTGTCGAGTGTGTTTCTTTGGGTAGTATGTATTGGGCTGGGCCTGACAGGCAAAATAGGAATACATGTACCTTGCTTCCTGATATTATAACATAAATTGGCAAGGCTTAGTACGTTTGCGAAATTGGTGTATTTTGTGTCAATGTGACGCAAGCGAAATGGCTAAGAAATTTGGTCCCCCAAAACGTTGTACAGTGGGCAATCATGGAGAAAGAGACATGGAGGAAGAGAGAGAGAGAGAGAGAGA